CTCACCTTAAATTCTCATCCAAAAAACACTTTCTCTAAAATCAATTTCGAACACAGGGAATAAATTTTGAAACTCAAAAATGGTAGATCTTGCAAATCATTGAACACTTATTCTTAGGGTGAAATGGATGGTCTAGATAATTTGTTACAATATACACTATTTTTGGAGCTTGAAATCCTTTTTTTTTTTTGACAACTGTAATCTTCAAGCCAAGATGAACGATGTATAAGTTTTACAATACTAGAATTGCAAGTTTTGATGAGTTATGAGGTGATACTTTTCCCCTACCTCTCAAAATACAAGGTTTTCTAGGGCTGGCGGTTCAAAATAGGGTGCTTATGATTGATAGTCTTATTAAGCGAGGGAAAATCTTACCAAATATATGTCTCATGTGAAAGGAGAATGGGGAGTCTGGTGTGCATCTCTTTCTCTATTGCCAGTTTGCTAGTCGCATATGGAGGTGGTTTTTTGACGAGCTTGGGGTTGCACTTGTTATGCCTCCCTCTGTGATTGGGATTCTACATAGTCTTTCGGCTTCTTTACGAAGGACTCGGAATGTTATCTGGCAAATCTCTAAAGGTGTCATTCTTTGGGAGATCTGGAGGGAGAGAAATAGAAGAGTCTTTGAAGGTACATCTTTGCCGATTGAAAAAGTTTTGGAGAAGATATTGCATTCCATTTGGATGTACCTCTCAGTTACGAGTTGTGGAAGGATATTTCTGAAGTGGATGTAAGAAGAAATTTGGATAACCTCTTCCATTTGGGTGTCCCTAAATGTAGGCTTAAAGGAAGATGGATGGTCCCACCTATGGGGGTCTTTAAACTCCACTTTGATGGTAGTTCTTTGGGTAACCCGAGACCTGCTTGTTTTGGAGGGGTACTTCGAGATTGGACCGGGAATGTGGTTTTCTCCTATGCAAGGCCACTTAGGCTGCAGACTGTGAATTATGCAAAGCTCTTTGCCCTTCGTTTTGGTCTTCCCTTGTGGAGAGGAATTTGGGGTCTTCTTACATCATTGAAGGGGATTCACTCAATGTTGTTAAATGGTGCAAAGGGGAGCAGAAGCTACCTTGGGAGCTCAAATCTTTGTTCTTCAGATTTTAGATCTTGCCTCTTCCTTCTCTATCTCTTATGTTCATGTGTATAGGGAGGCTAATGTGCTAGCTGATTCTCTTAGCAAAGGAGGCTTTTCTCTCTCTGAAACCGTTATTTCGGATTTTGTAATTTTGTTCTAGATTAATACAATCCTTGAACTTTCTCTCAAAAAAAAAAAAGAGTTATTAGGTGAGACTTTACTTATTGTGATAGGACTGCAGCCCTATCAAACCATTTTCCTTAACCTTTGGATAAAGCCATAAATAGGAGTATTTTTCAAATAAGTGTACTTTTAAAACCCCAAATTTTAGGGGACAGCATCTTCAACTAGCAACTCACCTGGAAAGAAAATTGATGTGCATTATGTATGTGACTAGAAAATAGCCTACTATGGTTGAACATGGACTTTATACTAGTTGATTCTAAAGTAGGATCCAAATTTTCAAATAAAAAAATACCCTTGAGTGAGTCTTATTACCAGGAGCGGGAGTGGGAATGGCTCCAATTCCAAGAGCGGGAGCGAGAGCGGAAGCGGGAAGGCTTAAGTTTCGGGAGCAGGAGTGTCGGATTGAGCATTGCCTAAAGCTCTGGAGCAAGTTTTGATGAGGGTAAAAGTTGTGGATCGAGATCCCGTATGAACAGGGAGCACGTTCCCGATACATTGGGATCAAGGTCCTTATTTAACGGGAACGCATTCCATGTAAAATGGGATTGTATTCCCATGCTCATTAGGATCGCGCTCCAGTAGATAACAGGAACAGGATCTCATTTAAAGTTAAGTCTCGTCTCCATCTAAGAAAAATGTGTTCCTATTTGGAATAGATCGAGCTCTATTCAAGGTTGGATTGCATTCCACTTAACTTGGAGCCAATCTCCACCTGCCATCTCTCTCTTCCTCTCTCTCTATCTCTCTCTCTCTCTCTCGCAACCAGACATTCACCACCTCTTCAACCCATCTACTAAAACATGCCCCTCTCTCGCTAACTTCATGAACACAATCGTCTAACTTTACAGTGAGTTAACTCTTTCTCTCTCCTTAAAAAGCACAACAACATAAAAAATCTACATACCCATCTCAACCTCGCTTACTAGCAGTTGGGAACCTCCGTAGCAATCTCCAAAAGGCCAAACATGCTCTGAAAATGGCTAAAATCTTCTATGAAAAATTATTCAATGGATTGCAAGCAACTCCATGGTTGTGAAGCTTGGTGATATCCTTGACAGAGGAGGAGAAGAGCTCATGCTCCTTTATTTTTTAGAAAAACTCAAGAATTCAAGAATCGGGATGACTGATTTTCTCTAGGAATTCAAATGAAAAACCTTTGTTAAGGATTGGAAAAGCAAATTAACATTTTTAATGAAGTAAACAAAAATTACCCATCTGGAATTTGGGCTAGAACAACTGCTTTGAGTGTTGGAGGCCCAATTTCTACGCATTTTTTAGCTAATAACCCTACTATTTTAATGGTGGATGACTCTGTTTTTGTTCATGGTGGGATCCTCCCGAAGGATAGAATTCTAGCAACGTAGGGATCGTGGTCCTAAAATTCTAGGAGCGAAAATCTAATTTGTTCGGGAACGCATTTTGTGGGACAGTGGGAGTGAGATCCGTGTGGTAGCGGGAGCGAGCTCCATTGTGAATGCAATCAAGAATCTTGAAAATAGGAGCGAGCTCCAAAAAAGTTGGAAACAGGTTCCGGACGAGATCCTGGCCAAGGAGCTGGGTCCTAGAGCGAGAGCGCCACCCTAATTGGGTGCTCCCGGTAACTATGGTATAGCATGCTCTCGAAAGATTGTTAAAAAATAACCAGGGGTTGAAACACATCTAGTGATTCTAAAATCATCACTGTCAAAGACTTTTTCCAACGAGATCCTGGCCACGGAGCCCCGGAGCTGGGTCCTAGAGCGAGAGTGCCACCCTAGTTGTGTGCTCCCGATAACTATGGTATAGCATGCTCTCAAAAGACTGTTAAAAAATAACCTGGGGTTGAAACACATTAGTGATTCTAAAATCATCACTGTCAAAGACTTTTTCCAACTAATTGGGGTCAACTACACAAATCATGGTCTGCTTTTCTGCTCTATTAAAGGTCATACCCTCAATGAAACCATAAGTCCATGTTTCTTTTCCCACTACTTCCGGTCCTTTTGGGCCTACCCCATGCCTCTTTTTAGCCTTCCACTGAAACTAACTTGCACCTCTAATAGCTGAGTCTATGCCACACATAGACAGCCTATGTAAGTCTAATCTCTCTAATCTGATTGCCTATTGATGCCACACCTAAATTTTTCCGAATGTATTCAATCTACTTAGTCTAAAATGGGTCCAAATTTTCAAACAAAAAAAAAAAAAAAAAACAACTCCTAAGTAAGTATTTTAATGGGGTAAGTAAGTGCACAGTGTGCTCTTCATAGAGTTGGCTAAAAATATAAGCTGCTAGGATTGAACAAAGGCTCATCTAGTGATTATAAAATGGTCCCAAAATTTCCAAAAAAAAAAAAAAACTACAGTCTTCTACCAGGGTATAATCTTTATGGTGTGCTCTTGACAGTTGGCTGTACCCACCATAAGAGAGAATATTATTCTTGAGAGAGTGGAAGAGAGAACCAGAAAAGATTAGTAGTGCACATCACATATCACTTAAAGAAATATCAGGCCAATATTTTTATGTAAGGGAAGAGATCACATACAACTCATGCACAATAGTGACAATATTCAGACAGTTATAAAAGTCAATGGTTAACCAGAGAATCTTTCAGCCCACCTGATCTAACAGGAGAAAACAATCGAAAATTAGATCTATAACAGTTTCATAATGTGGGGAAAGAGGGAGGGAGAGAGTGAGAGAGGAGAAAACAATCAATAGTAGATCTATAACAGTTTCATAATATGATGAGAGAGAGAGAGAGTGAGGATCTAATAATGAAGGAAGAAACCATCCATGCTAGATCTAAGTCAGTTTCATAATATGGACAGAGAGAATTGATAGTGAAGTAGAAACCATCCATAGTAGATCTAGAACACTTTCATAATGGGGGAGAGAGAGAGAACTATAGAAATAACTCTCCTTGGAGAAACCATCCATAATAGATCTAGAACAGTTTCATAATGTGGGGAGAGAGACAGAGAGAACTATAGAAATAACTCTCCTTGGAGAAACCATGCATAATAGATCTAGAACAGTTTCATAATGTGGGGAGAGAGAGAGAGAGAACTATAGAAATAACTCTCCTTTTTCAAGATTTCCTCCCCCAATTTACAAGGGTTAAGAAAAAGATCATATGCATCAATTTAAAACAGTTTTTAGTAGATCAGTATTAGCAGTGCCTTTAAACTGTTAGCAGTGCCTTTAAACTGTTAGCAATGCCTTTAAACTCAGCTCAGGCCTTGGACTCAACCTTGGCCAGAGCTGAGTAACTCCACCAAGAGCGAGTGGACTCAGCCGAGGTGCTTTTTGTTTTGTTTCTCCCAATATGCGTGAGTTGTACCAGGGTACTCTGCTCGGCAAGGGGCAAAGTCCGAGTGGATTCCACCGGGTAGTTAAACATGAGTGAGAGACTTAGGCCTGCAAATCTTAAAAATTTCAAGAATTTCTCAACCTCTTGATGCAATAATGGAAGGAACCAAGGAAAATATCATTCATAACAGATCCACAAGAACAAAGAGACAGACTACTTCTCAACAACTATTGATCTATTTGCAATAAGGAAGAAACCACAAAAGCCATTTCCATAAAAATTGCAGTGTTACATGATAAAACAAATTTGATATAACAGCAAAAGAAGAAACCATCCATTCTAGAGAGAGAACATCAAATCAGATCCATAACTTTTTCAGAAATACTCAGAAAGAGACAAAGCATCCATCTAAGGTTACGACATTTACAGAGAGCCAATTCCATAACTCAGTGCTTCTTCAAGAACCCTTCAGCCATCTTGATATAATCTCCATATCCACCCTCCTTAGCATCCCCTGAGTGCGAATTTTGCGAAGGTTCGTTGAAGAACCCTTGAGCCATCTTGATATAATCTCCATATCCACCCTCCTTGACACCCCCCGAGTGCGAATTATCCTAAGGTTTGTTGCGCGAATAATCAGAGCCATGAGAACCAGTCACCGAGTGGTCACTGGGTTTAGTGCCTGAACCACCATGAGTCTCTTCATAGTTGTGAAGATAAGTCTCTGCATTCTCCATATATTTTCCAAAGCACTTCTCTTAGAGCTTTCCGTAATGGCTGGCTGCTCCAACAAGTTCGGTCGCTGCACCGGCTACCTTCCCTTTGTTTAAATTCTCAGTCTTATGGCTCATGGCTGATTTTGCAGCATCTGCAACAACTTTTGTGCTCGAAAAGAGCTCACTTCCTGAGGCCACATGGCGATTGTGCCCCTTCTTTCCCTTTCTGGCTTCATGATCCATGGCAAATAGTTCAGGGTCTCTCATATCAGATGAGATAAAGGGAGAATTGTAATTTAGCAAAGATGGGTCATGTGACTTGGGTTTCTCCAAAGTTTCAGTTTCTAGAGAGAAGAAGATGGATTTTGAGTGAATTCTTGAGAGATAGACTCCTAATAGATAATATGGAGAGAGAATTGTGATCTAGAGAAGATGAGGTCTATGAATTGGGTCTCTCCAAAGTTTCTATCTCTTGAGAGAAGATAATGGAAATGGGGAGAGATCTGAATTGGGTTCTCTCTCCCAATAAAGGTTGCTTATGGATAGCTTTGTGGAGGCCTGTATATAAAAGCAAGTGGTTGCAGTGGAGTCTGCGCACGGAGGTCTTGTTTCAGTGTATATAATGCGTTAAGGCAGAGTACTGGAGGAGCAATCGTGGAGTTCCTTTTTTGTGGCTGGAGGAGTCCACAACGTGTGGGCTCTTGGGATCACAATATGTCCTCCATCGTTTCCATCTCGCTTATTTGGGTAGGTAAGTGGGGAATATATTCCCTGCCTCATACATCTTTTAGAAGTGGGAAAAGTTTATATAGAGCCGAGGCTCTAAATAATCAAATTTGAGCCTATCTCACAAATTTCATTTGAAGAGGTTCTTTTGATGCCCTAATGTCATCAAATTGATCATCTCGATATCAAAATACATGGACATGAAAAAAAAAATAGATTTTCAGTTTTAGAAATAATATATTTTGGAGTATATTTTTTTACCGTCAATTTTCAAGATTTTTAAATTTTCATAGATCTGTTGATCTATACTATTTTTGAAGCTTTAAACTTTATAAGTAAAGATAAAAATATATTTTAAAGCTATCACAAAGATTTTCAGTATTAAATCCACATTCTCGATGCTATTTGAAGGTAAGCTCTAATTTGATAGTTTAAAACCTAAGCTCTATACAAACCGCACCTGAAAGAAATAGTTAATTGTTGACTAAGGCTCCACCATGACCTCAACCCCATTCCCAAGAGATATTTGTTCTCTCTTGTTTTGGGATAAGAAGTCTTGGTTTGTTTTTATAGTGAAATTTATGTCTAATTTTACTGTTATTATGGTCTGGTCCCTTCACTCCCATTTTCTTTTATGTTTTTCAAGTTCATATGTTTTAAACATCAGATTATACGTTATATATATTTTTTTAATTTAATGATAATTACTGGTTTGATGTTAAAAGCATCGTACATTATTTTGTTGGTTCGATGTTCAAATCGTCGGACCACCTTAAACCCTCAAAAACTGAGGTTTAAGGGCAATCGACCACTTTAATTGGTGAAATTAATTGGTGAAATCATAATTGGAGCACATTGCGAGAGCTATGTTATCAAATACTACTATATGTACAATCTTAATTGGTCCTAATTGGTAACACATGCTGGAGTATTTATGCATGTAATCAACATGACTCGTACCATGTTACTGAAAAGGCGGTCCGATGTTTCTAACTTCGGACAATATTTATACTTTATTTTTTTAATATTTAAGGCGGTCCGATGTTTCGGACATGGACCGACTAAAATATTGGCCAGTCCGACATTTAAAATGCCGGACCTCAGGCAAACTTGAAAAAAAATAAAAAATCTAGGGGAACAAGGACCGCAGCATAAATTTCTCATATTTTTTAACCAAACGCAATAACAGTCAAATAAAATGGTACGGACATCATTTCCCCCTTTTTTTTCTTAGAATTAACAAGCCTTGATTTTTTCTATAGATAAGAAACCTTGAATATTTTTTTAAAAAAATTTAACAAGCCTTGATTTTTTCAGTGTATGGTTTGGGGCTTACACCTCAACAACCCCTCTCTCTCTCTCTCTCTCTCTCTTCTTC